GAACGCGTACTGCAGATGGTTAGGGCATTGGCTGTTTACAAACTGCGCCCCTTCTGTACGGGGTTCAAGTTCTACTAGGGCCGCCAAGTTTCTGCCAATTGGCTATCAAGATAAACATTCTGAATTTTAATTTTGCTCCGATATAGGACGTCATCCATCCACCACAGAGCCAGCTAAATTGTTATTTTAACTATCGATGGAGGCATATCCATTGGTGGCTTTTTAGCGCCATTCTAGTCACGAACATATCCCAGAAAGTGATTATCTCAAAATAACAACGTTCACCCCCTTGCTCTACTTAGTATTGTAAGTAGACATGTTCATGAAGGATCCTGGGGGCTTTGAACACAGGCCGGTCCCCAACAGCCACTCGGATTGTCTGTTCAAGGTTATCACCTCTAGCACTTTGGCTCAAGAACCTAACTACAAGGCAGCGTTGGCAAGCAAACCTATTTAATAGCGGTTCCCGGTCGCCATGTCACAATGCTCTCAATGGGACTTGCGGCATTTTGTAAGACAGTCGGTGTGCCAGACCTCAGCCCTCAGCGCCCTGGTACCACTGTCGCAGCTAGTCCGTGACTGCTTATTCGCCAGACCCGGGGGCCTGTTTATTTCGCAGTTAACCTTCGCCGAAGGAGGTTGCACTATCTGACACCTGTGGACGCGCCAGGTAGCCGACACAGCTAGGCCAACGGGTAACCCGTCTTCGACCTTTCTCCACTTCTACGGCCATTTCTCGTGATAAAAGAGAAATAAAATAGCCATTACTTCGTGCAGAGCTCAGAGACAGTTTATTGGGGAGGAATTAGAAGGTCGGTCGTTCGACCTCCCTTGAGGAGAAAAACCTCCTGACTGGGTGCACTCCCTACTAATTCAGAGTCCACCGAAAAGTTGCTAAGATGCGCCAAAAATCTTGTCTCCCTTTTGTGCTATCTGTAACTCCTTCGGTCAACCTCAGTTTGGTATGGTGGGCCTATACATACAGCACGCATGTATGTGACTACTGATGAGACAGTCACCATTGCTGAAATGGGGTTTCTGAAATTGAGACACCATGTTTTTGCACTCCATTCACGTGGGAATTTTCTTCCATACACATCGCTTGGCCTGTTTTGCTCATTATACAGTAGACGCTTGCTTAACGAGTTTCATCCGTACCGATACCAAGCTCGCTATGTGAAACGCTTGTCTTGTAAATCATAGCCAATCAAACTGCATCAGTTCACTGATTGGCTGCAGGCGACCACGGACACACGACCCGGGGGAAAGGCTCAACGGCGGACACGGGTACATGAACGTGCTGACGGGTGCGTAAAATCCAACCCCACCTCCACGCTGGTGCGCGCCGGAAACTT